CAAATAATTGAATTAATTTGAACAGTAACACCAGCTATAACTTTATTTTTTATTGCAACACCATCATTACGATTACTATATCTAATAGATGAAATTAATAATCCAATAATAACAACAAAAGCAGTAGGGCACCAATGATATTGAACATACGAATATTCAGATTTTATCGATAGAGAATTTGATTCATACATAACAAATACAGAAAGTAATAACAACTTACGATTATTAGATGTAGATAATCGAATAGTACTTCCTTCAAATACATTTATCCGAATAATTGTAACATCTACAGATGTTATTCATTCTTGAACCCTTCCTTCATCAGGGGTAAAAATTGATGGAACTCCTGGGCGTTTAAATCAAGCAAGAATAATATTAAATCGAAATGGTTTATTATTTGGTCAATGTTCAGAAATCTGTGGTACAAATCACAGATTTATACCAATTGTTGTTGAAAGCGTCCCTATTAATATATTTATTAAATGAATAATAAAATCATCAAATGACTGAAAGCAAGTATTGGTCTCTTAAACCACTTAATAGTAATTTAGCAGTTACTTTTGATGAGAAATTTAGTTAAATAATAACATTAATATGTCATATTAAAATAATTGAATATCAATAATTTCTAATTCCACAAATATCCCCAATAAGATGAATATTAATTTATATTTATATTATTATAACATTTATATTATTCATTATAAAAATTTATTTTTTTAATAAACCAATAATTAATAATAAAACAACCAATTTAAAATTAAAAAACGAAAATAATTGAAAATGATAACTAATTTATTTTCTATTTTTGAACCATCAACAAGATTAATAAATATTCAACTAAATTGAATTGCAACTCTAATCGGATTATTATTAATCCCAACATACTTTTGATTAATAAATAATCGACATTCAATAATATGAAAAACACCATTTAATATTTTAAATAATGAATTTAATATTTTATTAAGAAAAAATAATAAAGGAACTACACTAACATTAATCGCATTATTTATAATAATTATAATTAATAATACAATAGGTCTATTTCCATATATTTTTACTAGAACAAGACATTTAACTATAACTTTGAGATTAGCATTGCCTTTATGGTTGTCTTTTATATTATTCGGATGATTAAAAAATACAGAAAGAATATTTACGCATTTAGTGCCTACGGGCACCCCAGGACTACTTATACCTTTTATAGTTTGTATTGAAACAATTAGTAATATCATTCGACCAGGAACATTAGCAGTTCGATTAGCAGCTAATATAATTGCTGGTCATTTAATTATAACCCTACTAGGAAATACATCAATAAATATTTCAATTAGAATAATATCAATTATATTAATTATTCAAATAATATTATTAAGATTAGAAGCAGCAGTTGCAATTATTCAAGGATATGTATTTGCTGTTCTAACAACACTATACGCTAGAGAAGTAAACTAATGTTAACACACCAAAATCACCCTTATCACCTAGTGGAAATAAGACCTTGACCTTTAGCCGGATCTATTTCAACAATAATAACATTAACAGGAGCTATTAAATTTTTTCAACAAGGATCATATATTATATTATTATTAGGGGTTACAATAACAACTATAATTATAATTCAATGATGGCGGGACGTAGTTCGTGAAGGAACATACCAAGGCTTACATACTAAAACAGTAATTAAAGGATTACGGTGAGGAATAATTTTATTTATTGTATCTGAAGTCTTTTTCTTTATTTCATTTTTTTGAGCTTTTTTTCATAGAAGATTATCCCCGGCAGTACAGGTAGGATCTATTTGACCTCCAATAGGAATTATATCATTTAATCCTATACAAATTCCATTATTAAATACAATAATTTTATTAACATCAGGAGTTACAGTTACATGAGCACATCATAGATTATTAAATAATAATATAAAAGAAATAAATCAAAGATTAACAATCACAATCTTATTGGGATTATATTTTACATTATTACAAGCTTATGAATATATAGAAGCACCTTTTACTATTAGTGATTCAGTTTATGGGTCAAGATTTTTTATAGCAACAGGGTTCCACGGTATTCATGTAATAATTGGTACAACATTTTTATTTGTTTGTGTAATTCGACAGTTCAACTTCCACTTCTCAAAAAATCACCATGTAGGGTTTGAGGCAGCAGCTTGATATTGACATTTTGTTGATGTAGTATGATTATTCCTATATATTTCAATTTATTGATGAGGAAATTAACTTATTTAATATAAAAGTATATTTAACTTCCAATTAAAAAGTCTGATTTAATC